GAAAGGGATTTGATCGTCTAGTTATCTACAGAAGAGATTTGATCGTCTAGTTATCTACAGAAAGGGATTGATCGTCTATTATCTACAGAAAGGATTTGATCGTCTAGTTATCTACAGAAAGAGATTTGATCGTCTAGTTATCTACAGAAAGGGATTTGATCGTCTAGTTATCTACAAAAAGAGATTTGATCGTCTAGTTATCTACAGAAAGGGATTTGATCGTCTAGTTATCTACAGAAAGGGATCTGATCGTCTAGTTATCTACAGAAAGGGATTTGATCGTCTAGTTATCTACAGAAAGGGATTTGATCGTCTAGTTATCTACAGAAAGGGATTTGATCGTCTAGTTATCTACAGAAAGGGATTTGATCGTCTAGTTATCTACAGAAAGGGATTGATCGTCTAGTTATCTACAGAAAGGGTTGATCTATCTCTCGTCTAGTTATCTACAGAAAGAGATTTGATCGTCTAGTTATCTACAGAAAGGGATCTGATCGTCTAGTTATCTACAGAAAGGGATTTGATCGTCTAGTTATCTACAGAAAGGGATTTGATCGTCTAGTTATCTACAGAAAGGGATTTTCTAGCAGAAAGGGATTTGATCGTCTAGTTATCTACAGAAAGGATTTGAATCTTCTGATCGTCTAGTTATCTACAGAAAGGGATTTGAAGTTATATTTGGTCTAGTTATCTACAGAAAGGGATTTATCGTCTAGTTATCTACAGAAAGGGATCTGATCGTCTAGTTATCTACAGAAAGGGATTGATCGTCTAGTTATCTACAGAAAGGGGATTTGATCGTCTAGTTATCTACAGAAAGGGATTTGATCGTCTAGTCTGATTGATCGTCTAGTTATCTACAGAAAATCTGACATGATTGATCGATCTACGTGATTAGTTATCTACAGAAAGGGATTGGTTAGTTATCTACAGAAAGGGATTGATCGTCTAGTTATCTACAGAAAGGGATTTGATCGTCGTTATCTACAGAAAGGGATTTGATCGTCTAGTTATCTAGAAAGGGATTTGATCGTCTAGTTATCTACAGAAAGGGATTTGATCGTCTAGTTATCTACAGAAAGAGATTTGATCGTCTATTTATCTACAGAAAGGATTTGATCGTCTAGTTATCTACAGAAAGAGAGATCGTCTAGTTATCTGATCTGATAGTCTAGTTATCTACAGAAAGAGATTTGATCGTCTAGTTATCTACAGAAAGGGATTTGATCGTCTAGTTATCTACAGAAAGGGGATTTGATCGTCTAGTATCTACAGAAAGAGATTTGATCGTCTATTTATCTACAGAAAGAGATTTGATCGTCTAGTTATCTACAGAAAGGGATTTGATCGTCTAGTTATCTACAGAAAGGATTGATCGTCTAGTTATCTACAGAAAGAGATTTGATCGTCTAGTTATCTACAGAAAGGGATTTGATCGTCTAGTTATCTACAGAAAGGGATTGATCGTCTAGTTATCTACAGAAAGAGATTTGATCGTCTAGTTATCTACAGAAAGGGATTTGATCGTCTAGTCTACAGAAAGGGTGATAGTCTAGTTATCTACAGAAAGGGATTTGATCGTCTAGTTATCTACAGAAAGGGATTTGATCGTCTAGTTATCTACAGAAAGGGATTGATCGTCTAGTTATCTACAGAAAGGGATTTGATCGTCTAGTTATCTACAGAAAGGGATTTGATCGTCTAGTTATCTACAGAAAGGGATTTGATCGTCTAGTTATCTACTCTAGTTATCTACAGAAAGAGATTTGATCGTCTAGTTATCTACAGAAAGAGATTTGATCGTCTAGTTATCTACAGAAAGGGATTTGATCAGCGATTTGATCGTCTAGTTATCTACAGAAAGGGATTTGATCGTCCTCTGATTTGATCTACAGAAAGGGATTTGATCGTCTAGTTATCTACAGAAAGAGATTTGATCTATCTACAGAAAGGGATTTGTCTAGTTATCTACAGAAAGGATTTGATCATCTAGTTATCTACAGAAAGAGATTTGATCTAGTTATCTACAGAAAGGGATTTGATCATCTAGTTATCTACAGAAAGGGATTTGATCGTCTAGTTATCTACAGAAAGGGATTTGATCGTCTAGTTATCTACAGAAAGGGATTTGATCGTCTAGTTATCTACAGAAAGGGATTTGATCGTCTAGTTATCTACAGAAAGGGATTTGATCGTTATCTACATCTAGCAGAAAGGGATTTGATCGTCTAGTTATCTACAGAAAGATCTGATCGTCTATTATCTACAGAAAGGGATTTTCTAGTTATCTACAGAAAGGGATTTGATCGTCTAGTTATCTACAGAAAGGGAATTTGATCGTCTAGTTATCTACAGAAAAGATTTGATCGTCTAGTTATCTACAGAAAGAGATTTGATCGTCTAGTTATCTACAGAAAGGGATTCTGACGTCTAGTTATCTACAGAAAGGGATTTGATCGTCTAGTTATCTACAGAAAGAGAGATCTTTATCTCGTCTAGT